ATTTATTAATGTATCTCAAAAACTATAATTGGTATGAATATAAAATTTGGAATACAAAATACTATATCATTAAGATTCTGAAAGTTTCGTGATATTCTACTCACTAAAATATCTATCCTTCTATACAAAATTGTTATAAAACCATTTTTATTTTTAAAAAAAATTTTAATTCTATTAACCTACTTGCTTTTGCGAAATTAAATTGCAATAAGAACAAGTTATACGAATAATATTAAAGGGATTGGACAAACTGCAAAATATGCGTCTGATCATTATGTAAGATAACTTCGTTGTTTTTTAACCGATTTGCTCGAAATTTGATATATAAACATATTAAATATTTATAAAATAATAATTGTCATAATGTTATACCTTATTGATTATTTTGGCAATTTATTTAAAGTTTATTATTGGTCATATTTTGCATATTTTTTATCAATTTTTAGCAACTAACTAAGTAATAAGGGTAGTAATATTCAACTATTAGCAAAAAAAAATTTTATGGAAGAACTCAGATATACTCTTTGGGGTTAGCAGATAGAAATGAAAAAATTCTATAAAATATTTCAAATTTTTTGTACATTTTCACTCATTAAATTATATTAAAATTATTGTTACCTATCTGAGTTTAGCAGTTAGAATTGAAAAAATTCTATAAAATCTATTTAATTCTTTGTACATTTTCAGTTATTTAATTTTATTATTATTAAAATTATGCAATTAATAACTATATCTTAAGGTTTTAAAATCAAAATAAATTACCATTATTCGATCAGTAGTAAAAAATATTATATAGGTTTAAAGTTCGAATTTTTAAAAAAAATTCTGTTTCGCTAAAATTTCATAAAATTGCGAAAAAAGTAATAAGCGGAACACCTCTGTTTTTTTTGGTTGAAGTTGTATTTTTCAATACGAATTGAATATACTTATATAATGGAAGCATAAAATTTTTTTTGAAAACAAAAAAATTTTTATCAAAATTTTTGTTAAAAAAATTTTATTAAATGATTATATGGAGGGTGTGAATTGAAAAGGATGAACTAGGACGAAACTTTCTAAATCTAAATGATAAAGTACAATTGTCGTGTATCTCAAAATTCATTTTTCTTTTTATTAAAATCTTTAAAGTATTAAAAAAAAGTGAAAAAGTTGACCATGTTAAGACCCGAATATGGAGGGATTCAACATTGTTTTTTTTTAACAGAAATAATAAAAGAAGAAGACTGGTAACTATTCTAAAATAAAAATCTTACAAACACAAAATAAAGTTCCGAGCTAATTAAAATATAATATGTAAGATTATCTTCTTATAAAGTTGTAAAAAAGGATGAGAGTAAGACCTATTTTCAATATTACATTAAAAAATTTATTTTTTAATTTCTATAACAAACTAGGAAATTTGAAAGTAAAAAGCGTTTCAAAAAGCATATTCAAAACAGTACCTTCATACATTTTATGTTAGACATTATTAAGTCGTTATTTCAAGTTAGAATCCTAATTTTTTCATATATATATATATAGTATTATATATATCCTATATCCTATACATAAATGCTTTCACATGTTCCCAAGTGTAGATTCCAATTTAAAAATCTTATGTTTCATTTGAGTTAATCATTATTAAAATATTGCCCCATATCTCATTGTTGAAAGTATTTACTTGATTTCTTAAATTTATAAGCTTGGAATATTCATATTCTAAAATTTTATCAATATGTATTTTGTTTTAATTTGTCAATTTATTGGGCTATATGAATATCTTTATTTTTCATTCATTATTAGTCTTTGATTAATA